TCCTGCGCGGCTGTAACGATGCGGTCTCAGTGTGAGTCAGGAGGCGGGGCCAAAGTGCACCATAATGTTCTGTATGTTCACCTCCTCTCCAGCTTCCTGCAGGGTGGAGGTCCTCCTGCTGGGAGGCTGATCGCTACAGCTGGAGGTGGAAACCAAACCATCGACTTCAGAAAGGATCATTTAATCAGGCGGGGAGGCCAAAGCTTCATATCACAGGTTTATTTAGGGGTGTGAGAGTAAAGGGGCTCTTCCCAGATATCTAAAATGATGGTTTGATGGAGCTGCTGCAGGTCTGAGCCTTTCATTGGAAGGCGATGCTCCCTCAGCACGCACATGTGAGTTTATAAGCTGGATGAAAACGGAGGGATGATGGATGAGCTGAGGAGCGTAACGGCAGGTGGAGCGATCCATCACCCTGATGGAGGTTTTATCCAAAGCATCAGTCCATGTGCAGCCTGGAAACGCTGCAGTTATAAAACTGAAACCTGGAGCTGACAGCAGGAGAGGCGGCTTGTTTTCGTGGCTTTAATGTGCAGCAGGAGCTCAGAGAAAAGGTCTTTTATGTCGTCCATTATTTATCCCAACCTTTGATAGACTCACTCCCTCGCCTGGAGATGCTTGACGATGTTGATATCCCGAGCTAATTACCTTAATTACGCCCCCCCACCCCTCACAGCACACAGAGCTGCAGAAAGAGACGCTGGCCTGGACCTGCGCCGCCTTTCTCTGCTCTTAACGAGGCCGATGACTCACTCTGGACGGTCCTTTCATGTGTAAAAACAAGAAGATTAGAGGTCCATCTTAGAGCCTCACCAGGATCTCCTTCATCTAGCACTCATGAACGAGCGAAAAACTATGAACAGAAGAAATAACAGCTTATTCTGTCAATTCTTTGGTTCTGTCTGCTCAGATTAATGGGTGCAATGGTTTATGTTTACACTAAAATTCACCTGAAAACTTCATCTGTGCAGTCAGTTCATCCAGATTACCATCCTGCCTTTAAATATTATTTCCTTCTAAGCGGCTCCAGCAGCTGCTGCGTTTGCAGCGCGTTGCGCACGTCAGATGCTCAGGAGCTCATGACGCGCTGCTTCAGCTGCTGAAAGCGCGCTGCGTGACCTTTTCCTGCGCCTTGATGCGCGTCAACCATTGACTTTGCATGTAAACAAGCTGCCTCTGCTGCTTTAGGTGTGAATGTAGCGATAGTCAAAGAACGGAGCCTTGAGGAACCCCACTTTGGATCTTAAATCATAGCAAAAAATATCAGCTAAATAACCGTGATGTTGGAGCTGTGTGCTGTAATGTTGAATAAGGTGTGCCTAATAGGGGGGTGGGGTGGAGTTAGGCTGATTTTAAAGGAATAGTACACCCAA